TGTCCTCCTGTGGTATCTCATTCCAGCCAACCACCAACTCCTCTCGAAGTGCTTCTAGAGTCTGAGGAGGACGTTGCAAATTGAGCAATCTCCTACCCATCATATCCCACACGTGCTCAATTGGGGATAAATCGGGAGATCTTGGTGGCCATGGTAACAATGTCATTATGTTGAAAGAAGTCTATTGTGACTCTTGCAACATGTGGTCGGGCATTATCTTGTTGGAAAGTTGGATCTGCCAGGGTGTCAAGATAGGGTAAAAGATGGGGTTCTAGAACTTCGTGGATATAACGCTGCGCATTCATGTTACCTCTGATGAAGTTTAAAGGTGACCTGGAACCATAAGCTATAGCACCCCAAACCATAACTCCAACAGTGTGATGAACATGTCTTTCAACAAAAAACTGTGGATTCCTCCTTTCACCACGTCGCCTTCTAACCCTGGCACGACCATCGTGCATGCCTAAACAAAATCGAGACTCGTCACTATAGACAATACTGTTCCATTCCTGATCCCAGAGTGACCGTTGTCTGCACCACTCAAGGCGATGACGTCGGTGTTCTCGAGTTAAAGGGAGGACCCAGTGTGGCCGGTATGAAAACAAGCCAAAACTTCTCATTCGTCGGTAAACACTTCGCATGCCAATAGGTCTTCCGTGTTCTGCAAACCATTCATTTGCAATGGACCTGGTAGTGGAGAAACGGTCCCTTAAGGCCAATAATCTTAGGCGGCGATCTTCACGGTCTGTTGTTCTACGGCGGCGTCCAGTGCCCCTTGCTCTTTGCGTACGGCCTTCTCGAAGCCATGCCTGACAACACCTAACCACAGTGTCTACACTTCTTTGCACTCTAACTGCAATTGCCCGAAAAGAAAGTCCAGCTTCCCGAAGTCCCACTATACGGCCCCTATCAAACTCACTAAGTTGACGAAATCGTACAGGTCTCCGTACTCTAGGCATCGTAACCGATCGTAAAGGATGTCAAGAACCAAAATCCGCCAACGTTGATTCTTTACTGCGGCTGAAATATTCATTTTTAGAGCGTTAGTGAATAAAAAAAAGCAGTATAAAAACAGGAATGTCCAATTGATAAGGCTGAAATTTTTTTCACTTGTTATTTACAGTAAGATAAATACATTCACCAACTTTTATTAAAATAAAACCATTTAAACTGGGTGTTCGGAATTATATGTCACTTAGTATATATAGCAGCCGCGATGTCCAGGCGTCTGCCTGCGCGGCTGCTTCGCTATTGAAAAAATAGAAGTCCTAAGTCTTGTCAAAAACAGTAAGCATGCTATTGTAACTCCAAAGAATTATAGTTTAGGTCATTTGGACAAGGGTCGTCTTAAGCTATGTTTGACACTGGAGCTTGGAGGTAGAAATCTGTGGCTCTTTTTTTTGTTGGTGACAATTGATTGATTTTTCTGGGGGCCCCTCATCAAACGGGGGTCCTGACCACGGGCCTCGCTTGATGTGGATTCTGGACAATATTTAACGCATTTTTTTCAAACATCGGGGGACCCCGTCTCACTGATATGGCGGTTGCTACGCCCCTGATACTGGGATTAGAAACGTGAAATGAAATTCTGGAGCTATTATTTACAATTTTAACAATTTAGCCCAACCTGTAAGCTTACGTTTTAAACCCGTTTACACAACGTTGATCCTACAGCAAATATTTTTTGAATAAATTCTCCATTATAGTCATGCATTTGAATTAATTTGAATTTTAACCCGGTGACATTTTTTGTTTCGGCTTATTTTTCAACGATTTTTGTTACAAAGATTTTGCGCTATAGGAACACTGCTTTATTACTACCAATTTTCTTATACAGTTTGTTGGTTCTCCTTCGTTTTTTGAAAACCATATACATTTTGCAAAGTTGCTATGATTATAGGATTTTTTTTTGATTTAGTTTTTAATCTAGAAATATTGCCAAGTTTTTCTGGAGCAGTAAATATTGTGAGACACTTGTTATGTAATTTATCGGCATAGTGCGCATATGTTCATCTCTTTTGTAATGAACTTAGATAAACAACAGTATCTACCATCAGTGGCGTAGCTTGCATCTCAAGGGCCGCAGATCAAAATTTGTATGGGAGCCAACCCCCAACTGTGGCGAATTCCAAGTTCCTCAACTATGTCGTTTGTGTAGTGAGCGACATAAACTTTATATAATAATATAAATAATGTTCTTGTTATACAGGGTGTCCCAGAAGTCGACGTCAAGCCGAGACCGAGTGATAGGCAAAGTCATAACAGCTATCAGAAAAATATTTAAAAAATTTTATGTATGTGTTTTGAAAATTATAGGTCTTGAAAAAAATATAGAATTTCACACCCTACGGCAGTCTGTCAACTCCTGTTAGTACAAATATTAACTTTTTTTGGATTTTATTTTTACAATGTAATGATGAATAATGCATCTTCAAACTGGTGTCTCAACCTTACTGCCAACTTTTCTCGTTCAGGTAAAATTGCCACTTATTTCCCAACCAAGTATTCCAAAGTAAAACTTTGCTTAACTTTAACTGGCTGTAATGGAAAAAATGTACTACGAGAGGTTGGCAAGTAACCTTAAAAGTTGGCGCATTTAATAAGGATTCCAAAATGGTATAACACTTAGAAGATTACTCGTTAACTTATGCACAATTTTATTTGAAGAAAAACTGATGAAATTTCTCAAAATTTACTAATTAAACAGCGATTATGAAAACTCACAAGGACCCTTAAGGATAACTGTTTGCATAACAGTGGGCGTCAAATGCTGCTGATGATGATTTACCTTTACAGCAAATGCTCAAACTGTTTTCCTTCAGCGGCAATACACGCTCGACATCTTCTTAAAAAAGATCGGGTTATTAAACGAGCGAATCCACGATTATTAACAAACTCAGCTGTTTCCAATAGTCTTTGCCGTAGCTCAGCTACATTTTGAATCGGCTTGAAATACACTTTTTCTTTTACAGTTCCCCAGTAAAAAAAATCTAACGGATTCACATCTGGTGACCGGGCTGGCCACGGTATTGTACCAGACCGCCCTATCCATCTGCCTGGAAAGTTTTGATCGAGATACTCTCTCACTGAGAGTGCATAGTGCGCTGGGCAGCCATAATGCTGAAACCACATGTCCCTGTGAATACTCAGTGGCACGTCCTCCAATAAATTTTCTAAATGATTTTGCAAAAAACCTAAATAAACCTCATCAGTCAAAGTCTCTGGGAACTCAAACGGACCGATTATTTTACCATTTAAAATTCCTGTCCAATGGTTTATCTTGAAGCGATATTGAGATTTATCTTCTCTCATCAAATGTAGGTTTGCTACGTGCCACTCGTGTAAGTTATGCATGTTCATGTACCCATCTTTCTTAAATGTGGTCTCATCTGACCATAAATTTTTTTCAAAGAACCGTAGATCTTCCCTGTGTCTTTCTAACATTGTGCGACAAAAAGCAATTCGGGGCTCATAATCCCGGGGCAGAAGAGCTTGAACACGCTGTACGTGGTATGGACCATTGGACAGGAATTTTAAATGGTAAAATAATCGGTCCGTTTGAGTTCCCAGAGACTTTGACTGCTGAAGTTTATTTGGATTTTTTGAAAAATCATGTACAACATTTATTGGTGGACGTGCCACTGAGTATTTACAGGGACATGTGGTCTCAGCATGATGGCTGCCCAGCGCACTATGCACTCTCAGTGAGAGAGTATCTCGATCAAAACTTTCCAGGCAGATGGATAAGGCGGTCTGGTACAATACCGTGGCCAGCCCGATCACCTGATTTGAATCCTTTAGATTTTTTTACTGGGGAACTGTAAAGAAAAAGTGTATTTCAAGCCGATTCAAAATGTAGGTGAGCTACGGCAAAGACTATTGGAAGCAGCTGAGTTTGTTAATAACCGTGTATTCGCTAGTTTAATAACCCGATCTTTTTTAAGAAGATGTCGAGCGTGTATTGCGGCTAAAGGAAAACAGTTTGAGCATTTGCTGTAAAGGTTCATCATCAGCAGCATTTTGACGCCCACTGTTGTGCAAACAGTTATCCTTAAGGGGTCCTTGTGCGTTTTCATAATCGCTGTTTAATTAGGAAATTTTGAAAAATTTTCATCAGTTTTTTTTTAAATAAAAATTGTGCATAAGTTAACGAGTAATCTTCTAAGTGTTATACCATTTTGGAATCGCTATTAAATGCGCCAACTTTAAGGTTACTTGCCAAACTCTCGTAGTACATTTTTTCCAGTACGTTAAAGTTGAGCAAATTTTTACTTTGGAATACTTGGTTGGGAAATAAGTGGCAATTTTTCCTGAACGAGAAAAGTTGGCAGTAAGGTTGAGACACCAGTTTGAAGATGCATTATTCATCATTACACTGTAAAAATAAAATCCAAAAAAAGTTAATATTTGTAGTAACAGGAGTTGACAGACTGCCGAAGGGTGTGAAATTTCTATATCTTTTTCAAAGACCTATAATTTTCAAAACACATACATAAAATTTTTTTAAATATTTTTCTGATAGCTGTAAACACAACCATTCCCGGCACTCGCTATGAGGCAAAATATTTTTCTGATAGCATTCCAATAACCGGCCACTTCCAGTTTCCTGCCATTTTTTCACGATACTCTAAAATAAAATTTCACATTTCCACTTGATTTGGGAATGGATATCAAGGGAAAAAGTTGAATCACAGAAGTCCGGAGATATTTTAATTGCGAAAAGCTTCTTTCAGCTGTTGCAGTTGTAATCTAGAACGTTGAAATAGGAAGCATGTTACTATCACTTAGCGCCTGAGAATTTTTAATTTAGCTTACGATCCAAAAACTTAAGTGAAATTGTGAAGAAACACTACGCATTTTTTTCGTATGTGGGGGCCTCTGTAAGCTGGGGGGCTCTGTAAGCTTTGGGCCCCGTACCATTGATATGGCGGTAGCTACGCCCCTGTCTATCATATATATCCAAGAAAACAAGCAAGGACAGCTGATAGTATAGGCGCACATTTCAATTTGGTTCCGACTACACCAGAATGTGAAATCGGCTTTCAGAGACAGGTTTAAGCTTAATACAGAGTTCAAAGAACGGAGTGGCTACAAGGCAAAATTGTAGTCGCATGTGCAGTGTGGTGTTTCCGTTTATAAATATTATTAGCTGAAGAAATGGAGGAGTTTCTTAAATTTAACAGTGTTTATACGGATCAGTATCACAAGATCGCCAAGGAATTTAAGAGGATAGGGGGTAAGTTGGCTTAGAGAACGAATACCTGTTATAAATAGGACGTGATGTATTTCTTATTTAATGAATCCACTTCCAATTATTACATGGAATAAGACTGCTATCGGTAGGGTTACCAGATGGTCGGGATTCGTCAGGAGTGTCCTGACATCTCATATGATGTCCAGAGTCCCAGCGAAATACAAATTGTCCAGAAAAATAACAAAACACAAATTTAAAATTACGCGGTTTAAAAATAAGGATTGTTTGTATTCTGTCTGCAAGAGATATTTCAGTATATTCCAATATTCCAGAACACTACGTCTAGTGGTCAAATGTTGACTTATTCTTTAAAAAATGCGATCAAAATGAGGCCAAAAATTAAAAATAAAGGACGTTGTCTTGTCTCGTCGATCCCAATAGCAAACCATAAATAGGGTTAAAGTTTTATGAAAATTGTTTATATTCCGAATATGCCATAAGTATATGTTTTAGTTGTCTCATATTTTGATCTCATACGTTTCATCTGTAATCTCATGAGTTGCCAACAAAGGTATTTTGTTGTAATAATTTTAATTTTAATAATAAAAAATTACTTTTTGATTGATAATATTTATTTGTCGCACTATAGTCCTCAAATCCCGACCTTTTGAGGTTCTGCCATCCGTGGATTTAAAAAAAAAGATATTGATTGTTTAAGATAGTATATGGAATTGATATACATAAATAATTATGTAATATTGTAACAATACGTAGTAAAAATGTTGATATTCACTTTCTTCACGTTGATATAATTCAATTTGCAAGTGATTCAAATAGTACACATACAATTTCTTTACATCTCTATGATAACACCTGAAATTTATCCTGTAGTTTTCATGCTGACTCCATGAAGCCACATATGCGTCAATAACTTCTTTAAGTTTCGGTGGCCTTTTTAAAAGTAGAAATATTGACACTGTCATTTGTACTTTGAAAAAGGCCACCGTGGTGGCCGAAACGTCAGTAAAAAGAATAATTCACACATATACAGGGTGACAGGTAATAGGTGTAAAACATTATAGGAGGTGATAGTACAGCCCCTTTGCTATCGAAATTAGTATATAATACCATACCCTATATTCAAGGTTGAAAAGTTATTGAAGATTTTTTTTAAAAACAATCCATATTTCATAGTAAAAAAGTCGAGAGAGAAAAAAGTTGGCGATTAAACATTTGTTTTTTGTGGTTTTGGGTTATTATTTCAATAATTAACTATTATGAATTAAAAAAGATTCGAAAACAATACCAAACAACGTATTTATTTTCATTCAAAAATGTTTAACTAAGAAAAACAAATAACGTTTTACAGTAAGTAAGGTGTTTTACAAAAAAATCAGTATACAAAAAAACGTACAAACAATTTAAATAATATCCGTGTTTCATAAGGAATCTAAATTGGTATGATAAGTGCACAAAAACTGTGTGAAACTAAACATAATGTATTATAATACAACAATAGGGAGTAAATTTACCAATGGCTTGTCTCTTATTTTCACAACTCTCTGATTGATAAGAAAGTGTTTTTGTGAAAATAATGTAACTGTAAGCTATGGGATAGTTATTATTTTAAACTACGGTTAAGTCACACGATTAGATTATTTACACAGTTGTAATTGTACTACAGAATAATAAAAACTGACTAAAAGTTACTACAATTGGTAAGTAATATACAATAATGAAATGAAGGTAAATTCATTGCAATTGTTGTTCGAACTGACGCCCGCCGTTTCTTATGCAAGCCCGTAGTCTTTTTCTCATGTTGGTACGCGTGATGCGGCCAGTTAGTTGTCCTCTGATAGTGTCAGCAGCAGCAATAATTCTTTCTTTCAACTGTGCAAGAGTGTCTATGGGCTCAGCGTACACCAGTGACTTCATGTGCCCCCATAAATAATAGTTACACGGTGTTAAATCTGGGCTCCTCGCTGGCCACGGTGTCGGTCCACCTCGGCCAATTCAGCGACAAGGATATTTCTCGTCCAGCCACTGTCTAACACCCAGACGGAAATGCGCGGGACAGCCATCCTGTTGGTAGATCATCTGCATCCTGATATTCAGAAGCAGGTCTTCGAGATACTCCCAGAGTTCGGATCTCAAAAAGTTTTCATCGGATTCGCCATTCAGGTTGTCAGGCAAAAAAACTGGTCCAATTAGATACGTATGAATGATTCCCATCCACACGTTTGCCGAAAATCTTCTTTGATGGGCTCTTGGCTTTGCCATGTGGGGATTTGCCTCCCGTGGGGCCCAATAATGTAAGTTCTGATAATTGTTGTCCCCTCTCTGTCAAACATAGACTCGTCGGTCCGCAATATTTTAGTTAAATAGTCGTTTTTTTCTTGATCCCGATGAAGCATGTATCGACAAAAATCAATTCTTCTTGCGGATCTCCTTCTTCTAATACTTGAACCGGTGTGTAATGGAAAGGGTAAAGTCTCGCCGAATGCAAAACGAACCAAACTTTCCACTGAGTTAAACCAAGCTGCTTTGCTATAACTCGTGTAGACGTCGTCGGGTCTCTGCCGTAGCATTCCAGTATTGCCTCTCGATCTTCGTCGTCAAACAACCGAGGTCTACCAGCATCATGACGTCTCTCATGAACCTGTCCACTTTCCTTGACGCGTTGGTACACAGAAGCAAATACTCGATGACTCGGTATTCACCGATTCGGAAAACGGTTTTCGTATTCTCGCCTGGCTTCAACGGAATTTCCAACACTTAAACCATAACAAAACAGAATATCAGCGTAGTCTTCGTTACGGTAACTCGCCATTATTAAAACTGATCAAAAAAGTAAAAGTACGTCCTACCTCGTAAAGGTTGATATTCTACTAACTAACCTAAGCGTTAGTTCCCTTTCCTTGATCCGTCAGCTGTGTCAATCCATAACACACGAAGAGCTTGCTTCGAGGAGCGACGACAGATTCCGAATACTTAAACCCGAATAACGGCACAGGGCACAAAAAATAACAAAAAGGGTCGAACCATCGAAGGCTCGGTTTAACTGCTCAGTACAATGAAATGCGCTTAGCGGGGTCCTTTCTAGCAAGTAATATTGTTTTGTTAAATGGTTTACTCACTGATATGTTATTATACCATTTTGGAAGCCTAATGAAACGAGGAAGTTTTTGCAGTTATTTGTACATTTTCTTTATTATGATTTTTTTGAAAAACAAGACGTCTTAATGTGAAAGTTGAAAATAAGGATTTTCATTTAACATTTAAATGAAAATAAATACTTTTTCAGTAGTATTTTCATATGTTTTTTAATTTATGAGAACTATTTATTTAAATAATAACCTGAAACCACCAAAAAAGAACGTTTAATCACCAACTTTTTTTTTATCTCACTATCTTACTCTGTAATCTGGTTGTTTTTAAAAAAAATTAAATCTTCGATAACTTTTTAACCTTTGAATATAGGGTATGGTACTATATACTAATTTTGATAGCAAAGGAGCTGTACTATCACCTCCTAAAATGTTTTACACCTATTTACCTGTCACCCTGTATGAGGTTTTATTCGGTCAAATAATCATGGTGTCCTGTTTTTCACCATCTAAATATGACCATCCGACCAATAAATAAAATATTTACGAATTGTTGTCCATAAAACTAGACTAAATACGACTGAAAAGAGATGTTCAATATTAAAAAAATTATGAATTATAATCCTTTAAAAATTTGGCCTTGCTTACACTCAAAATGTTCAGGAACAGTCCGTCATTTAATAGCTAGGTGAAGGTTTTGAAGTTGTTGACAGTGAGCAAGACAATGGTCATCGGGTTTGTAATGATTGCAACTTATTTCAGAAAATATTTACTTGGACCATGCAGGAGCTACATTGTATTCAGAAAAACAAATGCAGCATGTTTCACGGAACTCACCTCCAATATTTATGACAATCCTCATTCTATGAACATGTCTGGTAAACTTACAGAAGATGCAGTCGACTTGGTTCGTTTCGGTAAGAGACACTCAAATCCGAACCTTTCTTGGTATAGGATCCTTGAAGTAAATTGTTGTTAAATGAAATGACTTGGTTCTAGCTTAATTTTCAACATTTGCTTCCTAAAAGTGTTGAACTGCAAATAGCATATCCAAACTTTATTGAAAAACAGATCTTTTGTAAAAAATACGGATTTTGCGGAGGAATATACTAAGTGACATATAAATCCGAACACCCAGTTTTAAACGGTTTTATTTTAATAAAATTTTGTATAAGTACTTAATGAAGCATAATAAGTAAATGATAAAAATTTCAAAATGATTGCACTGCTTTAAAGCCCTTTGATCTTTAATAATGTGTGGATGATCAGGTGGTCAATGTCCTCCTGTGGTATCTCATTCCAGGCAACCACCAACTCCTCTCGAAGTGCTTCGAGAGTCTGAGGAGGACGTTGCAAATTGAGCAATCTCCTACCCCATCATATCCCACACGTGCACAATTGGGGATAAGTCGGGAGCTCTTGGTGGCCATAGTAACAATGTAACATCATTATGTTGAAAGAAGTCTATTGTGACTCTTGCACCATGTGGTCGGGCATTACCTTGTTGGAAAGTTGGATCTGCCAGGGTGTCAAGATAGGGTAAAAGATGGGGTTCTAGAAACTTCGTGGATATAACGCTGCGCGTCTTTTGTTACCTCTGATGAAGATTAAAAGGTGACCTGGAACCATATAGCTATAGCACCCCAAACAATAACTCCAACAGTGTGCGGAACATGTCTTTCAACAAAAAACTGTGGATTCCTCCTTTCAACCACGTCGCCTTCTAACCCTGGCACGACCATCGTTCATGCCTAAACAAAATCGAGACTCGTCTCTAAAGACAATACTGTTCCATTCCTGATCCCAGAGTGACCGTTGTCTGCACCACTCAAGGCGATCACGTCCGGCGTTCTCGAGTTAAAGGGAGGACCTAGTGTGGGCCGGTATGAAAACAAGCCGAAACTTCTTATTCGTCGGTAAACACTTCGCATGCCAATAGGTCTTCCGTGTTCTGCATTCATTTTCAATGGACCTGGTAGTGGAGAAACGGTCCCTTAAGGCCAATAATCTTAGGCGGCGATCTTCACGGTCTGTTGTTCTACGGCGGCGTTCAGTGCCCCTTGCTCTTTGCGTACGGCCTTCTCGAAGCCATGCCTGACATTACACCTAACCACAGTGTCTACACTTCTTTGCACTCTAACTGCAATTGCCCGAAAAGAAAGTCCAGCTTCCCGAAGTCCCACTATACGGCCCCTATCAAACTCAATAAGTTGACGAAATCGTACAGGTCTCCGTACTCTAGGCATCGTAACCGATCGTAAAGGATGTCAAGAACCAAAATCCGCCAACGTTGATTCTTTACTGCGGCTGAAATATTCATTTTTAGGGCGTTAGTGAATTAAAAAAAAAGCAGTATAAAAACCGGAATGTCCAACTGATAAGGCTGAAAATTTTTTCACTTGTTATTTACAGTAATATAAATACATTCACCAACCATTTAAACTGGGTGTTCGGATTTATAGGTCACTTAGTATATATGCATCAGTGTAACTGAAAAGGTTCCTTCTCCTTTATCTGTCGATAAAAAAATCGTTAACGATTTTTTTTATTAAACATCAAAGTTGAAAAAATCACATTCTCCTGTGTGTTGAAAACAGTATGAAAAATTAGAATAAGTGGACAGCAGATGTGTAGGGAATGAAAAGCCTGTTAGAAAGGGGCGTCATATTTTCAATTTGTTACAACGTTGCTCTTGATAAGAAAATAACATTTAGAATAAATCGTGACAATGATAAATTTAAATTGTTGAACATTTTTGCAGATTTTTTTTGTATGTTAATCACTACAAAGGCTAAGTTGTTACTATCATTTCCAATCTCAATTTACGATTATGCATTTTTCAGTAGAACACAAATTTGAAAATCGATGATTCTTGACAATAACAAATCCCTGCAGCAAATTTTTATGCAGGAATAAGCGAATACTTGCAGCAAAAAATATATGTAGCTTCACTGAAGATCTTGTCATCCATGATAACTTATACCAGCACTTAAGCTCTACTATTTCATAAAAATTTAGTTAAGTTTGCCTGTGTGATTAAATGCGGCGCTGTTGAACATCCTGGCAGGTCAAACGAAGGATCGGAAATTTTTACGCTTTCTGTACCATCACATTCAGAATCGGTGGATTCGACTTTTTCATCCAAAGTCCAAGATTCTGGTGGAACTGGGACGGAAAGTTCATCACTATGCTTACGGGCCGCAAAGCTGATGGTGTAATAAAATACTTAACAGTATGTTTCGATTTTGGTCCAATACCTTTAATATTTATGAAGCAAAAATAGCAATCAGTAGTATGGTCTCTCGGTTCTCTCCAAACCATTGATACCGTAAAGGGCATTTTACGATTGTCGCCTTTTAACTAACCTGTTAACAACGTTACGCAAGTCTTACAACATATGAGGGGCCCATAGTTTATCTTGGTCGCCAACTTTAATTCCAAAATAATGTTCATATGCTTTCAACACAAGGGGAGTAAAAGTACGTTTTTGGGATTTAAAAGTTAGCTCTCCACACACATAACAAAAACTGTTCGCTCTATTTACACAATTTCTAGGCATTGTCCATAAAGCTAGTCTCGATCACAATAAACTAAAAACAACACACCCTTTTAACAAAAGTTAACAGTACTCAGAACATATCAGTACTCTTCAACACAGAAAACATAACTGACTCGGCTGCTATTAGTCTACTAATAAACGCAATATGCCCTCTAAACATAGAGCTCGCATATAATAAACATGAATAGACCGGTCTTGACATTATATATGTGCGTCATCGCATCAACGCCGAGAAATTCTGTTTTTAGATTTGATTTAAGCGTCTCAAATACATAAGATACAAGCAAAAAATTGTCATGTCACAAATACTGTGTTCATCTGGTCTATTTTAACATGTAAAATTTCAGTTATAAACTAAGCTCAGTCACAATTCTTCTTCGTTTGGACCTGTCTCTCATTAATTTTATATTACAGTCTGTTTGAAGTATAATTAGTATTTTAGATCATTTCAATACCAACGATCAGGAGTATTCAATTGTATTTACATCTGGTGCTACCTCAGCTCTGAAGACGATCGCAGAATGCTTTGATTATGGAGAAAATGGCACGCTGGCATACCTCCAGCACAACCACACATCAGTTCTTGGAATGAGGTGCTTTTCCAAACGATATACCGAGGTGAAAGTTGAAGATGCTTTCGAAATCGAAGATCATAGCGAAGAAACCTCATCACTAAGTGATGCTGGTAATGGTCTCTTTGTATATCCTGCTCAATGTAACTTCTCAGGAACGAAGTTTCCGCTATCTTGGATTGAAAGGGTAAAAGCTGGAAAGCTTAACAAGCTTGTAAAAGTACCTTGCAAGCGCTGGTACGTAGTTTTGGATTGTGCTTGTTACGTATCCACGAATCATTTGGACCTTTCGTTATGGAAACCAGATTTTGTGTGTATATCGTTTTACAAACTTTTTGGGTATCCCACCGGATTAGGAGCGCTTTTGGTGAAGAAGACGAGCGAAGAAATGCTCGTGAAGAAATATTTTGGTGGAGGTACGGTGCAAATGGCGCTAAGCTCCCAAAATGTTATGGTACCGAGAAATAGACTACATGAAAGGTAAGCAACAATATTAATTTTGAATTAAATACGAGGGTGGTCCTAGAAGTACCCGGCCTGACTAGAGATGGCGATAGTTGTTTGAAAAATATCATTGTATTAGAAAGTATGCAATCTATAAAGCATATGTGTCAAGTTTGAGGACGCCACGTTGTTTAGTATTTGTTTGGCAGCCAACAATACTGAACGTTTTCGGTGAATTTGTGAGAATGGAGAAAATTGGTCATCGTTATGTGGTACAATACTTTTATTTCAAAGGCCTCAGCCCAACCATTATAAAAGATGAACTGGATGAGTCTGCTCCTTCGTTTACAACTGTAAAATATTGGGTAGCAGAGTTTAAACGAGGCCGTTTGAGCTGCCAAGGCGAGCATCGCAGTGGTCGACCAAATGAGGTGACGACTCCAGAAATGGTGAAGAAAATTCACAAAGCGGTACTTAATGATCGTCGACTGAAAGTGCGCGAGCAAGCGGGCATAGTAGGCATTTCAAAAAGTGCGGTTCATCGCATATTATCTGAATATTTGGACATAAGAAAGCTGTGTACAAGATGGGTACCGCGATTGCTCACAATCGAGCAAAAACAGTGTCGTGAAGATGTTTCAATTGAGTATTTAGCGAAGTTTCACAGCAACAAAGCAGAATTTTTGCGTCGTTTCATAACCATGGAAGAAACATAGGTCCATCACTTCACAACCGAGACAAAAGAACAATCAAAACAATGGACCCAAAAGGGACAATCGGCTCCAAAGAAGGCGAAGACCGTTTCATCTGCAGGCAAGGTTATGGCGTCGGTTTTTTTGGGATGCGCGTGGGATAATTTTCATCGACTATCTTGAAAAAGGTAAAACTATCAACGGCGAGTATTATGCGAACTTATTGCAACGTTTGAGCGATGAAATCAAGCAAAAACGGCCGCATTTGGTTAAGAAGAAAGTTTTGTTTCATCAAGACAATGCACCAGCTCACAAATCCGTTATTGCAATGGAGAAAATTAACGAATTTAAGTTTGAGTTGCTACCTCATGCACCCTATTCACCAGATTTAGCCGCCTCGGATTATTTTCTGTTTCCAAACTTGAAAAAATGGCTCAGTGGTCAAAGATTTTCCAGCGATGAAGAAGTGATGTCGGCAGTTAATGGCTATTTTGAGGAGCAAGACAGTTCTTATTATAAAAAGGGTATCGAACTTATTATTTTGTGTTTTCTTCGCTGGGTCGGGTACTTCTGGGACCACCCTCGTAAATATTTGGTTTGCAAAAAAAGATAGATGTTTGTCTGTGCTATGGAAGCAATAGGTACAGGGTGGCCCATTATCAGGTGTTGGTAAAAATCGTTATTTTGGGTATTAAGCTGCAATATTGCAACACTGTATTGTCGTGGACTTTCATGGTCACTAGGCTGTAGTTCTTGGGTTAACTGAATTTTGTATGGCCGCAAATGCAAGTCTGTTTTTAAAATAGTGCATATGACGTGCGACGAATACCCAGTTCTTGAGAACGATGTCTGGTAGACGTCTCAGGGCGCACCATTACACTTTCATGAACTCTCTCGATGCGAATGGTGTTTCAGTACACGTAAATGTATTATCAAAGGTGTGTTTGCTAAACGCTACTACGAGGGTAGGGTGAAAAGTTCTTTGTCTGACAATAGCTCACTGCGATTTATGGTTTAAAAGTGCTTTACTTCTTTACATAATCCCCGTGGACTTTAACAACTTATTCCAACGTTTCTGCAAACCTGCAAAATGTGCACCTATGGAGGAATTATACGTTTTTGCTGATTAGATCGCCAGGTCCGTGTCAGTCCGAAAACTGTCCAGTTTCTTCACGCAGGTCGGAAAATTGCTTTTGAGCTGTGTGCGAGCTTGCATTGTCTTGGTAGAGGCTGATTCTTCTTTCGGGGTTGATTTTTCGAAGCTCGGTGATGACTTTTGGCAAACAAATGGTGGTATACCAATCCGAAGTAACAGTTCTTTGCTCATTAAGAGGAATTGTTGCAATATGACCCGCTTTTGACACAAATGTCGCAACCATCTTTTTTGAAACACTTCGAGAACGGATGATTTTTGTTGGCTTTTCTGCACCTTGGAACACCCAAACAGCCGACTGTCGTTTATTTTCTGGTTCATAACAGTGAATCTACGATTCATCACCACTAACAATGCTTTACACATTTTTTGAGTTTCCGGAATTGAGACGGTCAAGCGTTTTTTGACACCAATTAACCCTGGCTGCTTTCTGCTCTTCAGTCAACAGGTGGGGTATCCAACGGGAAACTAATTTTCTTACTTCTAATTCTTCATGCAAAATTTTTTGACTTGAGGTCTTTGAGATCTTCAAGGACGCCTCAATCTCGCGATATGTCACATGTCATTCTTCAATGATGAGTTTGCGCACAGCATCGACGTTTTCCTGGTTGACTGCCGGTGTTTGGTGCACCCACACTGTAGTAGTTTACTAGTAGTTTACTAAAGAGTGAGGTTAAGATTCAGTACTGACGTTCGATCCGCGCGGCTTACTATGTTTCTATATGCAAAACTTAAAAGACATCCCTCGTAGTAGTACATTTCGAAAAATCCATGTTAACAAAACTGATTATATACTCTTTGGGAAATGTATTATTAATGCTTTAAGCACAGAAAGGGTTGCGAAGAGGTGGTTCTTCCTCCTATAAGTAGTTGAGGGTGGTACTTTTGATTGCTAAAAGCATGAAGCATCATTGTATATGATCACAGAGAAGAAAATTATATTCAGCTTGTGACAAAAAAGGTCTACAGTGGACCCCCGATAATCCGGTCCCTGTCTAATCCGGCGCCCCCTGTAATCCGACATGTCTTTGAATATTACATACATACGTATTTGACAATCTTCGCTAATGTAGATCTCGCAGGTTTGAACAGGTTACAACTTCTACGCGCCACCGCTATCGTGCTCGACGCGTAAGCATTGTTTTACTTAGTTTGAGTTTGACTACTTGTGATAGCGGTACGGCCTAGCGTGCGATCATTGTTTACTATTTATTCATTGTGTATTAAGTATAGTACCTAGTAATGTCATCACAAACTCAGAAGCGAAAGCACAAAACATTGACAATTAAAGGAAAATGTGATATTTTAGACCGCTTAAATCGCAATGAAACTTTCAGTAGTTTAGCAAGTGAATACGGCGTAGGCCGATCTACAATTTATGACATTAAAAGAAACCACGAGAAGATTAAGAAGTTCGTGTCAACTACTGACTGCGGGCCAGGCAAGAGACAGACACTCAAGAAAGCTGAACATCCAGAAGTGGAAGAAGCTTTGTACATGTTGTTTCTTCAGGAAAGAAATAGGCATGCGCCAATTTCAGGTCCCATGTTGACCATGAAAGCTAAGTTTTTTTATAAGGAAATAACAAAAAAAGATGATTTTGTGGCCAGCAAAGGATGGCTAGAACGTTTTAAAAGTCGTCATCGCATACGTTTAATGACTATTACAGGAGAGAAACTTTCTAACGATGCCACCTGCATAGAGCCCTTTAAATTAAGATTTTTGCAAAAGGTGACCGATTTAAATCTTGACCCGTCACACGTGTACAATGCAGACGAATCAGGGCTTGTTTGGCGTGTGATGCCTAACAAAACTTTCGTTTCTTGTAACGAAAAATCCGTACCT